AAAAAAAAAATTTTTAGGAAATGATAGAGAATCTTTTCCCAAATTTAATGACACCAAAACAACAAAATTTGATGGAAAACTGACAGAATTAAGCTCTCGCAAAGTTAGCGACCTAGGCGATATTTATGAATCGGCGATTTCGCCCACTTTGAGCCCCATTTTCGGCTAATTCCATTGTTCCAGTCAACCAAACTCATAGCTATTTCTTTAGAACTCCACGTTTTCTATCGATTGAGTACAAGAAACTGCCCATTTACCAATATCAACTACCCAATAACGTGTTAAGAATTTTTCAATTTGGCCAATTTCACAAAAATTAAAAAAACATGACAATTTCAAAATAGGGTCCAGAATGAACAATGCAGACTTTCCTGACTCTAAAATAACATTTTCTTTGGTCATCAGTCATGTCTCCAGGCCCCTCTGATATTACTCTTGCTTTCTATTTTGAATTTTTATTCAAACAAAAAATAGAAGATTTACTGTTATGCACACTACTGCAATATTCTAATAATTGTATAAACAATGTCAACCCATTCTTGACTGCATATTAGAATGACTACTTGGACATTATTGGAAAATGACATCATTTGTTTACTTTTGAACATCGGCAAAAATCAAACATTTCCTCTACTTTGAGCTCCATTTCAAGGTTCTTTTCATAGTAAAACCAATCAAAATCAGCTCTATTTCTTTAATATGTTTTCTATTCTATCAAACGAGACCAAGAAAACGAGAATGCAACCATAAATACTATACAAAAATAGACCACACAATCGGCATTTTAATTAAAAAAAAAAAAAAAAAAAAAACATAGGAGTTTTTTTTTCTCATTATGTACTCTGTGCTGAAGGATTTTTTGTATATGGTGCACACTAAACAATGTAGTAGGCTGGTAGACAACAATCACCCAGGGAGGTACTACCATCCTGCCAAGTGAGTAAAACGAAAGCCTGCAATTGTTTTACATTATGGTAGGATTGCTGGTGTCTTTTGTCTGTCTCATAAATGTGCAAGATTACAGGTACGTCTTGCTACTTCTACTTACACTTAGGTCACACTAAACATACATGTACATGCTTATTTACACCCACTCATCTGAGTTTTCTTTGATTTTATCTTAGTTCTTATTCTCATTACTTTTCCTTTTATATCCATGGGGAAGTGGAATAAGAATCTTTCCTCCGTAAGCCATGCATGTTGTAAAAGTCAACTAAAACGCCAGGAACAATGGGCTAGTAACCCCTTTTCCTGTAATAATTCCTAAAAAGAATAAGAAGAAAATTGTCAAAGTGGGAAGTCTGAATGTGCGTGGATGCTGTGCAAATGATAAGAAAGAGATGATTGTGGATGTTATGAATGAGAAGAAGCTGGATGTCCTGGCTTTAAGTGAAACAAAGCTGAAGGGGGTGGGTGAGTTTCAGTGGAGAGGAATAAATGGGATTAGGTCAGAGGTTTCAAATAGAGTTAGAGCTAAAGAAGGAGTAGCAATAATGTTGAAGGATAAGCTATGGCAGGAAAAGAGGGACTATAAATGTATTAATTCAAGGATTATGTGGAGTAAAATAAAGGCTGGATGTGAGAAGTAGGTTATAGTAAGCATATATGCACCTGGGGAAGTATAGAGGGGATTGAGAGATTTTGGGAAATGTTGAGTGAATGCGTGGGGAGTTTTGAACCAAGTGTGAGAGTACTTGTGGTAGGGGAGTTTATTGCTAAAGTGGGTAAAAATATTGTGGAGGGAGTAGTAGGTAAATTTGAGGTGCCAGGGGTAAATGAAAATGGGGAGCCTTTAATTGAGCTATGTGTAGAAAGAGGTTTGGTAATAAGTAATACATATTTTATGAAAAAGAGGATAAATAAATACACAAGGTATGATATAGCACATAATGAAAGTAGTTTGTTAGATTATGTATTGGTGGATAAAAGGTTGATGGGTAGGCTCCAGGATGTACACGTTTATAGAGGAGCAACTGATATATCGGATCATTATCTAGTTGCAGCTACAGTTAGAATTAGAGGTGGATGGGATAAGAGGAAAATGGCAACAAGAAGTAAGAGGGAGGTGAAAGTGTATAAACTAAGGGAGGATGATGTTCGGGTGAAATATAAGCAACTATTGGCAGAAAGATAGGCTGGTGTAAGTATGAGTAGTGGGGGGGTTGAAGAGGGTTGGAATAGTTTTAAAAATGCAGTATTAGAATGTGGGGCAGAAGTTTGTGGTTATAGGAGGGTGGGTGCAGGAGGAAAGAGGAGTGATTGGTGGAATGATGAAGTAAAGGGTGTGATAAAAGAGAAAAAGTTAGCTTATGAGAGGTTTTTACAAAGCAGAAGAATTATAAGAGTAGAGCATATGGACAGTAAAAGAAAGGTGAAGAGTGGTGAGAGTGCAAAAGGAGAGCAGATGATAGAGTGGGAGAGGCACTGTCAAAAAATTTTAATGAAAATAAGAAAAAATTTTTGGAGTTAAACAAGTTAAGAAAGACTAGGGAACAAATGGATTTGTCAATTAAAAGCAGAGTAGGGGAGTTAGTAGATGGGGAGATGGAGGTATTGGGTAGATGGTGGGAATATTTTGAGGAACTTTTAAATGTCGACAAAGAAAGGGAGGCGATAATTTCATGCACTGGCTAGGGAGGTATACCATCTTTTAGGAGTGAAGAGCAGGATGTGAGTGTGGGAGAGGAAAGTGAGGCATTACGTAGAATGAAAGGGGGTAAAGCAGCTGCAACTGACAGGATCATGACAGAAATGTTAAAAGCAGGGGGGGGACAGTGTTGGAGTGCTTGGAATTTTTGTTTAATAAATGTATGAAAGCGGAAGGCACCTAGGGATTGGCCGAGAGCGTGTATAGTCCCTTCATATAAAGGGAAGGGGGACAAAAGAGATTGTAAAAATTATAGAGGAATAAGTTTACTGAGTATACCAGGAAAAGTATACAGTAGGGTTATAATTGAAAGAATTAGAGGCAAGACAGAATGTAGAATTGCGGATGAGCAAGGAGGTTTTAGAGTAGGTAGGGGATGTGTTGATCAAGTGTTTACATTGAAGCATATATGTGAGCAGTATTTAGATAAAGGTAGGGAAGTTTTTATTGCAATTATGGATTTAGAAAAGCCATACGATAGAGTGGATATGGGAGTAATGTGGCAGATGTTGCAAGTAATATGGAATAGGTGGTAAGTTACTAAATGCTGTAAAGTTTTTATGAGGATAGTGAGGCTCAGGTTAGGGTGTGTAGAAGAGAGGGAGACTACTTCCCAGCAAAAGTAGGTGTTAGACAGGGATGTGTAATGTCACCATGGTTGTTTAATATATTTATAGATGGGGTTGTAAAAGAAGTAAATGCTAGGGTGTTCAGGAGAGGGGTGGGATTAAATTATTGGGAATTGAATACAAAATGAAGCTTGGGTTGTAAATGCTGCAGCGAGGAGGCGGTTGGAGGCAGTGGAGATGTCCTGTCTAAGGGCAATGTGTGGTGTAAATATTATGCAGAAAATTCAGAGTGTGGAAATTAGGAGAAGGTGTGGAGTTAATAAAAGTGTTAGTCAGAGGGCTGAAGAGGGTTTGTTGAGGTGGTTTGGTCATTTAGAGAGAATGGATCAAAGTAGAATGACATGGAGAGCGTATAAATCTGTAGGGAAAGGAAGGCGGGGTAGGGGTCGTCCTCGAAATGGTTGGAGGGAGGGGGTAAAGGTGGTGTTGTGGGCGAGGTGTTTGGACGTCCAGCAAGCGTGCGCGAGCGTGTTAGATAGGAGTGAATGGAGACAAATGGTATTTGGGACCTGACGAGCTGTTGGAGTGTGAGCAGGGTAATATTTAGTGAAGGGATTCAGGGAAACCGTTATTTTATATAACCGGACTCGAGTCCTGGAAATGGGAAGTACAATGCCTGCACTCTAAAGGAGGGGTTTGGGATATTGGCAGCTTGGAGGGATATATTGTGTATTTTTATACGTATATACTTCTAAGCTGTTGTATTCTGGGCACCTCTGCAAAAACAGTGATTATGTGTGTGAGATGAAAGTGTTGAATGATGAGGAAAGTATTTTCTTTTTGGGCATTTTCTTTCTTTTTGGGTCACCCTGCCTCGGTGGGAGACGGCCGACTTGTTAAAAAAAACTAACCACACAGACCCATTCTCTCAGATGTGGGCCTACCAGCTTTCTCCTGCTCGATTTCAAGCCGCTAGAATTTATGAGTATAGTATATATATGTCAAAAACAGTGGCTCATAAGACATATATATACGACCAAAACAGTCAAAGGGTTAAACCAAAAACATGGTCACAGTTTTTTTTCTCATTATGCACTGTGCTGAAGGATTTTTTTTATGCTGCACACACTCACCATTCAGACCCATTCTTTTGCATGTAGGTCTACCAGCTTCTCCCACAAGATTGGAGGCCGCTAGAATTTTGGCATAGTATTACAGAACCGACACTGGCTTCAAAGCCATAATATTACGGGACAGACAGTGAAAGGGTTAAAATAGCAAGTGTCAATTAAAGGGACGGGATAAGGGCTTATGGAGGTTCTGAGTACAAGGGGTGTGAATATCCAACAGGCTTGTATGAGTGCATTACATCTGAGCAAGACCCAGTAAGTGATTTTTGTGACTTCGCATGCTAATAGTGTGAGCAAAATAATATTTATAAAGGGACTGAAGACAACCAGTTACTCAGCCTCAAGTCCTAGAGGTGGGAAATACAAGTGCCATCCTTAACTCTGATGCCACACTCCATGAGTACAAACGTAGGCCTACCAGCTATCTCCCACAAGATTGTGCAACTCCATCCCCCAAGTTCAAATAGGCAATTACACATTATACAGACGCAATTCTGTAAAGAATATAGAAAAAATCCTTGAAAAAATAAGGTAAAAGAAAAGAAAACCAACAGTACTGTGAAAGAATAAATAAAAGGTGTACTATACTACAGGTATTAATCATGGAACCAACCTGAGATTTTCCAAAGAATCTATGATACACTGAACACATACCTGACATCTCCAACAAGTTTGTCAAAGGTATTATCAGCAGAAATGCGACTCGCACCTAATGTAGAATTAGCCAGGAGACTGTTGACCGCAAGAGGCTTTCTTACAGTACTGGAATTCAGCAAAGTATCTTCAGAAAGGGCCAATGACTGAAAATACATACTTGTAGAGAGAGACATGGACTAAATACAAAAAAAACTGTTAGTGGTATGTATGCATTAATATAGGGGAAACTCTTAAAACAATAAACAATGAAAATGCAAAACTCTCAAACTCTCTTCAAGAATCACTAAATACAATATATTCTGGGGAATGTCATCTAGATCAGTGCCTGAATATATCTGAAACAACTTTACTGAAAGCAGAAAATAGTCTATGTGGATAGCAAGGTGCAGATTTGGGTAGGTAATGTTACCATGGCTGCTTAACGTATTTATAGATGGGGTTGTAAGAGGAGTAAACACTAGGGTGTTGGGGAGATGGTGTGAAAGATAGTGAATCTGGTACAGAGTAACAGTTGTCGTAGTTGCCTTTTTTTCAATGACATGGTTCATTTGGGAGTTTCTGGAAAAAGGTTGCAAAGATTCATAAACAAATTTGGGAGGGTATGTAAAAGAAAATTAATTATTATTATTATCAATGGGGAGCACTAAACCCATAGGATTATGCAGCACCTGTGGGGGGGAATGTGGAAGGAATTCAGGCTTAATTCAGGAAACTGGAGCAGATTCAATTCCCTAGATCAAGAGCCCCTCACCAACATCAAAGAACCTTCCTTGAGGGGAGAAGAAAATTAAAAATGAGCAGAAGAAAGGGAAAGGTGATAAACAAAAAATGCAGATAATGAGAGATTGAATATTAGATTGGATGGAGTATGGAGGAAGTAAATGTATTCAGATATTTGGAAGTGAACTTGTCAGCAGATAGTTCACGAGAGATAAGGCGAATCATAGTTGAAGAAAATAAGATGGGTGATGCACTGACACACATGTGGAGACAGAGAATTCATCCATGGAAGCAAAAAGGGAATGTACCAGAGTATAGCAGCACCAACATACAAATAACCTGCACAATGGAAAATGAAACTTATGATATTTCAGCCCAACTTGAACACTAACTGTGAGACAAGTTAATGGTCCAAGTCAACCTGAATCACCATTATAAGTTTCATTCTCCTATGTACACATTATTTGTATATAGTTTCAAGTCACAGTATTGTTCCTTTTAATTCGCACTTCATAGTTCACGAATGCTGATACAGATCCTGATTTAAATCTCCCATCATAACAAAATGGTAATCAATACTACTTTGAAAATAACTCTCTACTACACAGCAAGTCAAACAATACCAAGAATATATCAATATTTAATTAAGTTTAATTCCTGAGTAATCACTATGATGACTTCCTAGCACTCCTAGATTCTTTAATTGCTAACATCTCCTGCTATACTTACTGAAACTCGGCTCAAGCAGGATAACAGTTATCTTAACCTTGCTTGTTTACCTTGCTTGGTTACACAGCCATTCATAACTGTAGGCCTGATGAAATAGGGGAGGGATAGCAATTTATATATGTCAATTACCATAATTTTATACCATACAGTATGCCACTATATAGTTTTTTGCTTGTTTGTTTTTACCTTCACTCCTTTAACAAGTGCATTAATGGAATCTTCTGAAGAATTTTCAGCTCTGGCATTTTCATTTTTCTCAATAAATAGATCATCAAATTTTGGTACAACCACACGCTGCTTGTAGCGGGCACGTTTCTCTTCCTCTGTCTTTGGGGGTTTTGGGGCCCTCGAATATGTACCACTGCATACACGATAACGACCCATCCTGAAAAAAAAAAAATTCTCGATTCAGCTCATCTACAGTATCTGGATGGGATTTTACAATTATACACAATATATATTAACCTTGTCACTATCCAGACCCCTAAAAATAATATTGTTCTAATAGACCCCTGGCTATCTACAAGAGGGAGCTAGACAGGCACCCCAAGTCAGTACCTGACCAGCCGGGCTGTGGTTCATACATCGGTTTGTTTGCAACCAACAGTAGCAGCCTAGTTGATCAGGTCCTGATCTACCACAAGGCCTGATCATGGACCAGGCCTCAGGGGGACTGACCCTCAAACACCCTCCAGGTATTGTAGAGATAAAGATTATTATTTCTATTAGTTATTGCTATCACTGTCATCACTATTTTTTTTTTATATTTTATTTAAAATACAATACATAACGAGGACATGAGACCCTGTGATCAAGGGTTAAATACATTTAAAACATAAAACATATCGCATATGAACAACTGAACATTAATAACAGGGAAAATAACCTACACCATAAACACTATACAGTAACAACGCACACTCCTACCTAAACATACACAATGCACACCATATACAGTAATAATCCACACAAAAATCCTGGACCATCCTTGACAAAGTCTATGCCATGCTCATTAAATACAATAAATTCAATATGCATGGCATACCACACCTATCCACAGGATGTATTCAGCTGTATCCCAGTACAATAAAAGGCAATGCAAACAATACATGCTAACCCCATAAGCGAGGTCAAAAGAGGAAAGCAAAATGCATGTGAAAACAACCATCCAAACAGGCCATCACTATCTTGCATAGAACCGAGGCCACATATGACATGAAACACAAGAAAAAATTACAGATCCAAGCACAATAACCATATCACACTGAACTTTAGTAACACGTCGGGAAATCGTGAACATAGCAGTTAACATATAACCTAATATGCCAACAAGGGCATGCTCCTACATGCACAAGCACCAGACGCACTGAAGTACCTTAATAGAGGTAAACAACCCTGCGATACCAACATAACATATGACATGTCAGACACAGTGATGACAAAACCTCAAGAATCACATCCAGCAATGCCCAACTGAACGAATGATAGCTTCCTCACCTGGGGAAGCCCTCCCATCACTCGTACCCACATACATAACATGGGATACAGACCTTTACTACAGCCCTCCTTGGCTCCACAAGAGCACCGACTGCCTATACATAAACTACACAGGATCCACAAAACAACCATCCATAAACCGTACCTCCCAAACCATACATAATCTTCAAACATTCAGGTGGATTCACACACTCAGGCACTCACCCCTTACCGAGAGACCAGCTCGCTGCAATCCCTGACTTCCTCAAATTTAATAAATCCCCCACTGTGAAACCACGGTACCTACTGAAAAATCTCTGTCCCACCTCCATCCATAAAAGGTCCCTGTTACAACACTTCTTTCTGTTAAAGGTCACTGCTACGACCTTCCTACATTCCCCCACCCATTTATCCCTTATCGCCCACAAGACAAACAAAATCGACTACCAGGTACACCACAGCTCTCTAGACCTGTGCTCCCACTCCACCCACATCCAAACTTAGCACCTACAAAACCGACAGTCCTCCCCCCCAACCCAACATACCACGTGCCCCATCCATTCCCTCAACACCTAAACATTTGCAAAAGTATACCACATGAAACACCATGTCTTCCCCCCCCCCCACACTCTTTACATGCCCCATCCTCCCTAATCAGTCTATTATGTAAAACCACCCCCGGCAGCAGGATCCCATGAAGGAACCTGTACATTACCTCCCTCTCACACAGCCTTATACACAACCCTCGTAAGCGACCCCAAATATCCATCCACGTGTACACTGGGTACACCTCTTCCACAGAAGCCACCTAACGAGTCCCTACCACTTTGTCAATGGCCCCAACCCGCAGATGCACCAGATCCCTAAAAATGCATTAACACCAGTAACATATCTTCGCAATCCCTTAAATCCCCCCCCCCCCCACCACCTTCGGACATCCTCATACACAATGCCGATCTTCCGCCCCACCCCTCCCACCTGCAGGAACCCATGCTTCACAAACACTCTTCAGTCTACACTCAAAAGAAATTAACCCCAGCCCTCCCTGGCGTACTGGGAGCGTTACCACCCCCCTCCTCAACCAATCACATCCCAACCCTCAAATGAAATGGAATACCCTACACAACAGAAGCTTAACATCCTTCGGTACCAATGGGTACATCACCGCCACATGCCATATTTTACTACACAAAAGTATGTTAACCACTATTACCCTTTGTGCAGCGTGAGGCGATTCGGCCGCAACCCCTCTAATCTTCTGATCACACGATCCACAACACTGCCTGTTACGTTTTGAGTCTCTTTTCAGGGAGGAGACCCGGGTAGACAGCCTGTACTGTCTGCACAGACAGCCTCTGCTGTCTGCCAGCTTAGTTCATATTTCACGCCACTAAGGTGCTGCCCTCTGGGCCTGCCCAGGTCTATGGGACGCTGGTCCCACTCACTCACTCACTCAGCGGCCTAGCAGGAAGACACAAGGCCTACTAGTTCTCTCCCTCTCATGGGCATGGCCCTACCCAGGCCATGGGCACAACACACAAGCCTGTGTACCCACCACTACATTGCAAATAAAGTGAGAAGCCTCCGAAGACGTTTATCATTGAACCCCGCTCTGCAAGAGCCACCAAACAAACTCGCTATACCCGTTAGTAACAACAGGTGAAGACCAACTCAGGTCTTCTTACTCTTTTCAAACATTTTTATATATTCAATTCAAGTTTATTCTCTATAATGGTTACAATGTGGGGTTTACAGGTTTTGGGTATTTTGTGGTTTACATGTTATAAAATACTAATTACAGAGGGGGCCACTAGGACACCTAGCATGGCTAGGCATTTCGAGCAGACTTATGGTATTAAGGTTATGGTATTAAGGCTAAGTGACTACATCATAATTTGTGAGTTTAGCAATGTGAATGCTTTTGTTTTGGCACAATACAAGGTGTCTATATTCGAGTATCATAGGCAAACTTATGACTAGTTAGGATTTATTATTTTAAGATTAAGATAAGTATTTCTGGGTTTATAGTCAGTGGGTGAGCGAGTGTAATTTTGAACCACCAGGTGGCAAAAAAGTTCTATAATGCTTTATCTGGTTTTATTCAGTATAATACTAAGATTATAGCCACTTAGTAAATTAAATAAAAGTCCCGTACTTATAGGTGGGACAGGAATAATTCAGGTATACCTTTCCTTATACACTCATATGTACACAATCACTATAGTTTCGTAATCAATGGCCACAATACATCACTGGGATCTCTGACAGCCAATGAAGTACAGGATAGGGTTCCTTTACCCCTTCCTCAATCAGTTACATACAACTACAGCTAGAACAGATTAGAGACTATCACGAGACTTCAACGGTTATAGAACACAGACGTAGTCTATTCATCAAATTGCTTCACTGAATGGCTGACTACACAGACATAACCCATCAAGTATTCCAACACTGACGTAATCCAAGCAACCTCAGTTGAACCTAGAGATCCAGGTTCAAAGGTTCTACTGGGGTTTGCAACGAGAAATTAAAAGAGCTCCGTGGCTTGGTGCTTTCTCTACCAGAGGCGAGAATGAACTGTTATGGGTAAAACTCCCTTGCTTGACATCACCTCGGAATAAGTGAGAGTTTGTGAAGCATAAACAACCACAAGGCAATTCAACATATGAATACTAAACACTGCAGGTTTATAAAAGCATCCTACCAGACAAAATAAAATCAATAATTCATGGCCAGATAATATTATAAAACTAGGAGTCTTTATTTTAGCTATGAATAAAGGTACCAGTAATATAATACTAAGTGAAAAAGCCGTAATTACACACTAATCAATTGACCCTTCTTAAATTATGCACAAAGGGCGTAACACTGCCCGAGTTGACATGCCTCGCCTCCCTCTCATCCCTCATGTACACAACCCCACAAATCTTCACCTGATCCACTACACACCACCTCCCCCACTCTCCCTCCCATCCCAATCCCCATGAACTTCGACTTAGCTACATTCACCCTCATGCCTACTGCCTCCCAAATAAATCCACGAGCCACCCCACACTCCCTAAATTCTCCCCCATGCACCAGGACCATCGTATCATCAACATAACCAACAATTCCCAGTCTGCCACAACCCAGCTCCCTCACACACGTCTCTGCCTGCCCTATAAAAAGGATCCTGAAAACATGCAAAAAGAAGCTGAGAGAGAGAACAACCCTGTCTCAAACCCCTTCCCATCACGACATGCGACCCCACCCTTCCATTCACCTGCAAACACATACCCGCCCCCAATAAAAAGTGCGTGCCCAACACACAATCTTTTCCCCAAACCCTTGTCACCATATAATATGCCACAAAGCTTCCCTTTCCACATTATCGTATGCCGCACTCCAATCCAGCTGCCAACACTCCTCCTCCCCCTCCTTTTGTGCACTCACTATAAATCCTCTAATTACCCCATGCCTCATACACTGACCTCCCTGCACCCCAAATTGTCTTGTTGCAACAACTCTACCAATGACCCTTTTCAACCGGTTGCCCAGTATTTTAGCAAATAATTTATAATCCACATACATAAGCGATATTGCCCAATAGTCCCTCATCGTTGAAGGACCATCCCCCTTGGTACCATGCCCACAACCGCTGTTGCCTGCAAAACCCCCATCTCTCCCCTCTCCATCACACTGAACAGCCTCACCAAAAACCCCTTTAAAACACGCCAATGCTGTACACAGAATTCACTCGGCAGACCGTCAATCCCTGGCACCTTACCTGTGTGCATTCCCATCAATGCCATCCATACCTCATCCCCCTCGATAATCCCACCTAACGCCTCCCTGTCCCCCCTTCTCAAGAACACACTGTACCCAACCCCCCCCATGTCCCGTAAAGCAGCCTCCCACAAACCTACACTCCTCATATATGACCCATTCCAGGCATCCACACAACCTCCCATACCCTCCATTGTGACCAACTCTTGCCCTTCCCTATACCCTCCCATCTCCTCATGCACACAATCCTACCATTTCCGTGGCGGCTTGCCGATACACGCCCACGGCCTGTCTTCCCACACCACCACCTCCAATCCCCACCCCCATGCCCGTGCCGCATCAAACCTCTCATTCTGCAATTCCTTGATATTGTCTTTCAACCCCTCTATTGCTTCAACAGAGTATCCCCCCCCCTTATCCCATAACATTCCCACAACTGCCCCTCAAGATACCTGATAAGCCCCTGGGAAAACAGCCTCCCTCCTCCCCCTCCTAACATAAAAGTCCCAGATCTGCTGCTTAGCTACCTTATTCCACCAACTCAACAAATCCCCCACCCCACTCTCCCCCATCCACAGGCTCTCCCACAATCTCACGAACAAAACCCTCCCTTCCTCGTCATTAAGCAGCCGGACGTTGATTTCAGTAACTCCCGTGCCTGCGAGACAGTTCTCCCCACCCCAACTCCACCAATACCCTCCTAACCACGTCCAACACATGCACCCTCCTAATTTATGCCGTCCTAGTCACACACAAATGATCAAGCCTAGCTGCGTACCCCCTCCACACAAAGGCACATTCCACCTCCCACGCAGCACTCCCCCACCCACGTCTACTAACCCCACTCCTTTTAACAGATCCCCCAAAACTATTGAACAAAACCCTACCCGCCCCCATTGTTCCACATCCTTGCGACATACCACACAATTCCAGTTGCCCTCCACGACCGATAGGACGAGGGAGCGACCGAAGATGATAGACCAAAACATTCCTCACAAAGGCATTCTTAACTCTGCCGTCCCCCTCAGCTGGACCATAAACACAAACACCACCCGTTCCCTCCCCCACAACCCATCCACCCTCAAGACCATCCCCTCACTACTCTCTACACTATGATGTACAACAAAGGGGCTGGTTTCCCTCACCAATGTAGCTACGCCCCCTTTGATTCTCAACAAGTGCGCCACAAAAACAGTAACCCTCAAGCACAAGCTCTCATCCAAGTTTGTGATTGTGCTCTGGCACAAACACAACATCCACCCATTCTGACCTAAAAACACACTAAACCACTTACACTTCAACCTATGCCTTAACCCTTAAACTGTCCAAATGTAGATCTATGTTTTTTCAACATTTGAAAGTATGTAAAAAAATGTAGAGCTTCTTTTGCTTTTTTTACATTTGAAAACTTGTAAAAAAAAACGATAAATTTTTTTTTGTCATATTTGAAAATATGTTAAAAAACGTAGATCTACTTTTGGAGCACTACACATGTGAATGTAGATCTGTTTGGACAGTTTAAGGGTTAAACCCTTGACATTGACAATTAAACGCCTGAAGCTGACTGAAGTGGTTTCCCTTTGGCACTGACACCTCGATCCACCTGTCTACGACGACCACCCCGGTCACCACCCGATCCCCAAGAACCACCTTTCACAGTCCCTGGTCCTTTGGATACTCCAGGGCCACTCCTTGCCACGTCTGCCCACACCTTTTTACCAGAACATTGTGCTGGAATAAACATATCCTCCGTATCAGAGAGTGCAGCCGCCCTCTTTCGCAATCCACTATCCTCTTTCATTGTTTCCTCTTGGAGGCCATCATTATGAATAACTGCCTCCACTGTACAGAGCCTCATAGCATCAGCCACTTCACCTACCCCTTCCCTCAATCCACCTCGGATGCGAGGTTAACAACAATCCCCTCCACCGACCCCACACCTGGGGTACCCAACATATCATGCAGCAGCCTCCTCATGCAACTCCGTCTGCTCCACCTCCACACCGAACTCGACATAGTCTTTCCCTCCCTCGTCCCAGCCATCTCCTCCTGGACAACCAGAGCCTCGGATGACGTCCAGCATCCTTCGACCCCTGCTGACAATCATACTGCATCACAATGTGATCATAGGCCCTGCATACTCGGCAAGTGCGACGCTGCCCGCATGTGACCATCACTTGCATCCTGAAATCTTCCAAGATCAGAAATGATGGGATGGGGTGTCTCAACGTCATTTTCAACATGAACGTTCCCTCAGATAGTACAGCATATGTTCCTTCCGTCCACTTTCCCAACGTAGCCACGTGAACCATCCCACAAAGTTCAAAAATAGCTCGAAGATCCTGTTCATCTGCCTCAAAAGGCACACTACAGACCTTTATCCATGTGTAATAACGAGACACGTCACACAGTCGCACACTTACAGCAGGGTTGACATCGAGACAAGCCTCTTGAAACCTGCCCACCAAATTCTCGTCGATACCGGCGTTGCGGAGTCTGACGAAGATCCTGTAAGCACAGTTTAATGCCACACCATATAGCTCCTCGTTGGCAACACAATAAGTATCACAAATAATGGCTGGTAGCAATACCGAAGCATTCTGTGCAGACACCACCCCCCGCACCAATTCTATGCAGACAGTGTTTGCGCGTTGTCATCCCTGTTGCTCCATTTTGTGAAAACCAAGCTTTCACCAATTGTCAGTAGGGGGCAGTCCAAGCACACGTCCGCTCTTCCCAGAGGTCGAGTGACGAATCCGAAATAAACTCATAACTACTCACTCATAACTACTCATAACTACTACAGGAACTCTTCGCAAGAACTACTTGCTGGAAGTTTTAGTCAAATAATTTGCTATAATGTTTATGGAAGTTATTACAAAAGTTGGGCAAACATAAATAAGTTAAGTACAAGTACACAATTACAATTATCATATATAATTTAGCATGATAAAAATAACTGGGTATCTTAACGGCATATGTTTCGCCATTGGATGGCAAAATGTCTACAATAAAGATACCCAGATGTTGCATGCGTGTCCAATTTTCATCTCGTCGGTACTGTATACCATTCACGTACAACATAATTTAGCACGTGTAAAATACCTAGGATAACCCCCCAAAAAAAATCAGTGACCTATTTCTATGTAGATACTAATCTAAATTTCAGCATTACTACCCAGGTTATACAATAAACTCAAGGGCCATAGTAATTATTATTATTACAATCTAAACTAAGCACTAAAACCACAAGGAAGGCCAGTAGTAAGTACATGGTAGTAACGATATTTTCAGGCTAAATAAAGTCTATGCAGTCTGAAAATTTATCTTCATAATAAAAATCGAATTTAAGAATAGATAGTCAAGTTTAAGCAGGCCGAACTGGTACAAGCTTACATACATACATAATGTATGATACATTCAGTACATGTAATTACACTAATACAAGACTATGCAATCTTAATTAACTCAATCATTCAAAAAAAGCTACTAAATTCTATATAATATATATATTACTACATGGTACAAGTATAATAGAGACAAGTGTAAGATTTTGTGTCAAATTTTTACTCACAGTGTTAAGCCACCAATCAGATAACAAATAATGTCAATGCAATCATCAAGGACACGTACTTATTTCATGTCCCAATTGCCCCCAGGATGCAACCCACACAATCGTAGCACCAGGATCTACTTCTTGCTAGGATCAATGGACAACCCGGTGCAAAACATCATGCACCCATGGTTTCTCACCCTTGCTAAGAATGGACAACAGTAAGAATCAGCCCAGCACCTTCCCAGGAACGAAGCAAGGCATCAGCTGTGAAGTGAGCATTGCCTAACAGGCCACAGGCTACCCAGTTTGTTTGTTTTTTAAAGATTAGTGTGTCAAATTTGGAGATGGGGAGGGGGGGGGTGTAGACAGCCTGTACTGTCTGCACAGACAGCCCATGCTGTCTGCCAGCTTAGTTCATATTTCGCATCATGCTGGTGCTGCCACCTATAGGCCTTGCCACTTCGGCCTGCCGGCCCATGCCTCCGCCTCACTGACTCACACAGCGGCCTAGCAGGAAGACACAAGGCCTCCCAGCTCTCTCTTGTGGGATGGCCCTGCCCAGGCCATGGGCACAACACAAGCCTGTGTACCCACCACTACTTAACAATAAAGAAAGAAGCCTCCGAAGACGTATCATTAACTCCCTGCTACCAGAATACCAAACAAACCCATTATAGGAGGTTAGCCACCCAAGACAGCCTGTCTTAATGCAAATGGAATTCAAACATCAATCTTATCCCCCCAGGACTAATGCCCGGGTACCTACTTACTGCTAGATGAACAGGGACAGCGTGTAAGGAAACATGTCCAACGTTTCCACCCATGTCTGGGATTGCCCCGGGACACCACTGTTTATTAACATCAAAAAGAATCACGGGGCACCAGCTGAGTGACATACTAGATATCAAGCCCCTTATGCAGAGCATGACGGGCAAATTAGGTCACTTTTATCCCAGGATGCGACCCATACCAGCCAACTAACACCCAGGTACCTATTTTTCTGATGGGTTAACAGGGACAACAGGTGTCTTATGGAGAAAAAACGTCCTGTTTCCACCTGTAACTGGGAAAGAACGAGCTTACTGTATTAGCAACCAAGATGACGTTTTTATTACAAGTTATATGACATGGTGCTCTCAGTAACTGGTGAACGTATTAATTTTACACTAAAATATTTCTCATTTTGTTAAAACAACGAATTAAAAAAATGGGTTTCCTTCAGCAAAACAACACACAAAAAAGTCTCAAACACAATGAACATTTTGTTGGATGGAGGCAATACCCGTGAGAGAGCACACGGCTACATCATGCAAATTTGCGTTCTTACGAGTGAATTTGTAAAGCATTTTTAAAAAAGAAATTCAGCATCTTCCACACTTTGTTGGCCCAATGCGCCACCTGCACTCCTCCAACCTCACTTCGGGACTATACCATTACTTACCGCATTGTAACTATTTTTCTTACTAATTGCCTATAACCACAGTCAGATTGAAAACACATTAAGGCGTGTTAAAATGTAGGTTTAGAAGGATAAAACAGTTTGTACCAGGCAATTCGAAAAAATTTTTTGTTACTTTAATAGAAATTTTACTGTTCGAACGAGCCTAGTTCTCGCCCTCTCATTGGTTGCAATTTTTGAATTAAAAAATTTCCTCCTATTGGTGGATTTCTCTGGGAGATTCTTTTTTTTAATAGCTATTGTCTCTAAACCCTCGTGGGTAAATTTAAATCGTTATAGTAATTGTTATGCGAGTGTAAACCCTTGATGCCGTGGGGGGCCTTGATCCAGGATTTATACCTACCTTCCCCTTCCCGGATTGAATCCAATGGCCTCCCAATCGTTTACGGTTTAGCTCATAAATGAATGCAAAATATTATAACAATTAATAAATTATTTATTTTAACAATACGGTGTTATTTAAAATCCTGTTTTTGGGTTTTAGTTTTTTTTATATTTTATTTTAAAATATACAGTATCATTTATATCACAAAACTGACGTAATCAAAAATCCTTAAACAAATGGATGAAAACTACCCTGAACATACATAACAAAATTACTATAGCCAGTCCTGACATTTGTATTCATATCTTGTATGAAAAAAAACTGTATATACAAAAGTTTTTATTAAAAACTAATGCTTTGGCCTCTTAATTTACATTGTAATTAGCATTTTATGTACCTAAACATTCTGTAGCTATTCATCCCAAATTTTGTTTTGTTTTATTTAGAGCCACAGTATACAATATACATGTAAATCATACATGATTGACTGAAATCACTAAACATGAAGCCATATATAAGAAATACACAAATCCTTAAACTAAAACGATTTACTACCCACCCCTGAACAACGTAACAAAAATGCTACAAAACTTGCATGTATAAACTCTGTTTTTATAAACTGTAAACCATACATGAAAAACTTGCATCAAGAACTTAGCACTTAAACAGAAAAAGTACCGGGGTTGTGACCTAAATTAATATAAACTTTAAACGAAACAAAACCAAACATATATAAATTTTTACATAAAACAAAATGACATAAAACAATAAGTTGATATATGCCTCCTCTCACCACACAAAAGGTACACAGTTAATGAACAGTTTGAAAAATAACCCCTTAATCCGTATGTGTGTTTATAATCCTACCTCATTAACCTCCAATCAGAGATGAGCACTTAATAGGGCAACGTTCAATGCTATCTCCTATAACACAAAACATTCTAGTACACCTCCCTCCCCCTCATCCCCCTCAATTAGGCAACCACCACTGTCTCTCGGTAGTATACATTACCCTGTTGCTCGTCTCCCATTTTTTACTCTGACATATAAGCCTGTCACATCGCAACAGTATCTAAATTTCAAAAACAAACCACCCCCCAAGCATTCTTACTGCATACATGCGTACAATACCTCTAAACAATAATATATACCTCAACCCTCTTACATAGGTGTGATGGTAAGTGACCAAGCATGGCAAGGCGTTATACTACTATGTTCCACAGTCAGCCCTCCTGGCCCTATATCACTCTCTTATTTACCCCTATCTCACCTATGGAATTTGTGCAGGGGGTTTCAACAACAATTAACCATCTCAGACCATTAATTACCCAACAAAAGGCTGCAGTCAGAATGATAACAAATTCCCACTACAGGCAGCACACTCCACCAATATTTAAAACACTAAACCTACTCACCATACAAAACATCCATACTTATTACTGCACCTATTACATACATGTATGCACAAGGCTTATTCCTCTAAGAAAAAGGAGGAGTAGATGTAAAATAGAAAGAGACAGGCGCTCCCTTTACAGGGGGGACGGAAAAGAATAACAGAGCGGCTAAAAAGAGGGTCAATATATCTAAAATTGCGTGGGGAGACACTGGTCAGAGAAATAGCAAGCATCGAACTCAAAGCTAAAGGAATCTTATAGGAGTCAGGAATCGCAGGAAAAAAACTAAAAGCCTTTAAATGAAATCGAAAAAAAACCCAAAGTATTTCTTCTCCTATGCCAAATCAAAGTCGAGAACAACCGTCCAGTTTTGGGCCCCTACTTAAACAAGATGGGTCCTACACAGATGAACAGCAAGGAATGAGTGAGCTACTCAAGTCCCAATATGACTCAGTTTTTAGCAAGCCGCTAACCAGACTGAGAGTCGAAGATCAAAATTAATTTTTATGAGAGAGCCACAAAATTTGGTTAAACAAGCCTATCCGATTTTTATCCTGACGCCAAATAAATTCGAACAGGCGATAATGGACTCCCCATGCACTCTGCCCAGGGCCAGACTTCATGGAACTCCGTGTTCATCAAGAACTGTAAGAAGCCCCTATCACGAGCCTTTTTTCCATCCTATGGAGGTGGAAAGCATGGACAACGGGGGTCATCCCCCCAGTTACTATAAACAACAGCCCATAGCCCCACTCCAAAAAAGGGGCAGTAAAGCAACAGCAAAGGAACTACAGACCGATAACCCCAACACCCATATCATAAAAAATCTTTGAAAGGGTCCTAAGAAGCAAGATAAACCACCCATCTAGAAACCCATCAGTTACACAAACCAGGGCAACATGGGTTTAAAACCCAGGTCGCTCCTGTCTGTCTCAACTATTGGAATCACTACGACAAGGTCCTAAATGCACTAGAAGATAAAAAAGAATGCAGATGTAATATATACAGACTTTGCAAAAGCCTTCGACAAGTGTGACCATGGCGTAATAGCGCACAAAATGCGTGCTAAAGGAAAAACAGGAAAAGTCGGTCGATGGATCTATAATTTCCTCACTAACAGAACACAGAGGTAGTCGTCAACAGAGTAAGTCCAGGGAGCTACGGTGAAAAAGCTCTGTTCCACAAGGCACAGTACTCGCTCCCATCTTTTTTCCTCATTTTCATATCCGACATAGACATGGGGTATCAGCCACAGCCCCCGGTTTTCTTTTCCCTTTGCAGATGACACCGAATCTGCATTTACAGTGTCTTCCATTGCAGACACTGCTAGGCTCCAGGCGGACATCAACCGAATCTTTCAGTGGGCTGCAGAAAACATTTTGAAGTTCAACGATGAGAAATTTCAATTGCTCAGATATGGTAAACACGAGGAAATTAAATCTTCATCAGAGTACAAAACAAATTCTGGCCACAAAAATAGAGCGAAAACAACCAACGTCAAAGACCTGGGAGTGATCATGTCGGAGGATCTCACCTTCAAGGACCATAAAATTGTCTCAATCGCATCTGCTAGAAAAATGACGGATGGATAATGAGAACTTCAAAACTAGGGAGGCCAAGCCCCTGATGACATCTTCAGGTCACTTGTTTTTATCTAGGCTGGAATATTGCTGCACACTAACAGCACCTTTCAAGGCAGGTGAAATTGTGACCTAGAAATGTACAGAGAACCTTCACGGTGCGCATAATGGAGATAAAACACCTCAATTACTGGGAGCGCTTGAGGTTCCTAAACCTGTATTCCCTGGAATGCAGGCGGGATGATACATGATTTATACACCTGGAAAATCCTAGAGGGACTAGTACCCAACTTGCACACGAAAATCACTCACTACGAAAGCAAAAGACTTGGCAGATGATGCAACATCCCCCCAATGAAAAGCAGGGGTGTCACTAGCACGTTAAGAGACCATACAAATATGTGTCAGGGGCCCGAGACTGTTCAACTGCCTCCCCGCATACATAAGGGGGATTACCAAAGACCCCTGGCAGTTTCAAGCTGGCACTGGACAAGCACCTAAAGTCGGTTCCTACCGCCGGGGGTGTGGCTCGTACGTTGGTTTGCGTGCAGCCAGCAGCAACAGTCTGGGTGGATCAGGCTCTGATCCACCAGGAGGCCTGGTCACAGACCGGGGCCCCGGGGGCGTTGACCTCCGGAACTCTCTCCAGGTAAAATCCAGGTAATACATAGAACACTTAACTCTGATATTTAACCCCCCCCCTCAAACATCTCCTTGCCAACCCCAACAGAAAAAACATGACCATAAACAAGGCACCCGATCACTCTTTGATGTTCCCGTGTCCATCTCACGCTATGCAAAAATCAAATGCACATAAAAGGGGCCCCAAAATCTGGAATTCATTACCTGTAAATATAAAAGAAACACTACCTGTTTATAAAATTTAAGTCCCCTTCTCAAAAATCACTTACTCACCCAAAACCAATAATACTGAATAACTGAAAACCCTTTTAAATTGTATATCTTAAATGTTTCTCACAATTTTTATCACATAATGTTAAACCTAAGACCCAATCTAACTTTGTTATTTTTTAAATACACTACCTAACAGAATACTCCATTCTACTGAATGTACAACAATGCATGCAACCATATGACCTGTCTTTGTAATACTCATTTGTGCTTTACTGTTATCTGTTTACAATAATGTTTTATCACTGATTACATCATTGCTTAGTTAATCTTAAGTTAATTTTAAGCCAGCCGGTAATGCTATGCATGCAAGTGGCTTTGGCATGCTGCTCTTACCTGTATTTTTTTGTACCTCTGTATGTATGTTATGTATGTATATACACAGAGGGTAATACAGTCATCATCCCATGGGACACGCATGCAAAAATATAAACCTAAAATCCCCACTACCAAACTGGATCACACACTTAATCCAG